AAAGGGATAACAATATTATAATTCATACAAGGAAGTATGATATTGATGACATATAACCATTATAACTCATATTAGTAATCATACTTAATGGTATTATATTTATTAGATTTATTGATCTATTTTATAAAATTTATATGCATATGTAAAATATTTTTTCAGAATCCAATAAAGTACTTTCAAATAAAATTTTATTTTATTTATTTTATTTTTATATTTTACTAATTAATGCTCCAGCAAAAGATTGTTAGATTACGTGACCTTCTCTAGTTAGATAAGATATATTATAGATATGATCGGATTCCGATTACTATTTGGTCAATAGAAGGGACTCTCCTAAAATAACCATTCTTATTTTTATTATATTTCTAATCTATCGCTCGTGGTCCTGTGCGAATGATAGGAAGAGAGGAGAAGAAAGAGTATAGTTTTTTTAGATCGATATCGTTATAATTTTCAGATGATGGTGCATTTACAAATCAGACAAAGACTTTCTAAATGATATCAAAACATACACATCATAAATTTTATCTATTATTATTTTAATTTTTAATATTAAATTTTTTTATGATAAAAAATATAATGATTTTTATGCTTTGTGACGTGCCACTAATATGCGTGTCTCACGTCTAAGTGATGCTTATCACACCAAGGCAATACCTTTACTCGGTCACACTATCAAGATTTTGGATTTTTGATATTAGATTACTATGTGACATTAACTTCGATGTGATGTAGAATGAGAAGTAATTCGAATCATAGTATAATATATTAAATAATTTTTAGTATGTTTTGATATCATCTGGCTGACTTACAGCATTTTTTAATAGCATTATATTATTTTGATCGGTTAAAAGCACCATGAAATTATAGAAAAATATTATAAGTGACTTCTCTTTAGTTGTCATTATTAGTGACTATAACTTCCCAATTAGTCTAACATTGAAAATAGACAATGATTATGATTAACTTATATAGGTATGATAAATATAGATCTGACAAGGATCGAAATAGAATTATTGGTCAATTAGCTCATTAGACTCGGGTCATGACAATTACAAAACCAAAATTACAATAGTCTCAATTTGGTTTGATTGAGGTTATGAATTCATTTATATCATTTATAGTGTTTTTAGGTAGGCTTTGTTATGGTAATTAAAATAGTAGCTAGTGAAGAAAAATATCATCAAGGTTGGTGAAAACTATTTTAGGCATTATATTAGACATGGGACACCTTTTGAAACAAGCTAAAGAAAATAAACTTTTTTTTTTTAGTGAAATCATTGTGTCTACATTCTACCACTAATGTATTTCAAAATAACCTATAAGTTCAATTCTTAGGCAATTTTTATTAATCTTTGGGGATTACCATCAGCATTTCTATTAATAATAATAATATTATTATTATTATTATTATAACACATTCTTCAGGTTAAAGATTAGCTCAAGCCATTACAAGAAACAAAATTATTTATACTCTTAGCACTACGATTTTGGGTTTATTATTAGCTACATGACCATTAATATATATAAGTTGTTAGAAAGCTATCCAATTGATATTTCATTTTTATGATAGCGATTAAGCATTAATCTGAGACGGGAAAGTCACGTGATACTGTCATAAAAGGAGTGCATTCTATAAATTGCTTCGTGCAACTCACACCACTGCATCCTCTTCATCTTATCTGCGTGTAATCTTCTCTCTTGCGTGCGTTAAGAACTTTTCTTATCGGTCTTCAAATCCCAAATCAGGTTTCATGTCAGTATGTTAGTTTGATCTCAACCCAATCCAAATCCAAAATTCTTTAATGGGAGTGCAAGCTCAAAGAATTTAGCCAACATTTATTATATGTATGTAATAAAAATATAAATCAATATATATATATCTATATTTTTTTTCCAGAAAAACATTGTCATTGTATTACTTAAAATCAGGGAATACAATCAACAGAATCAACAGTAAAAAAAAAGGAGGATCCCAAAATAATAATAATAATAATAATATAGTTGACGTGGCAAAGCACAATGGTTTCCTTCCATGAATACATGACAAACATTAACATCATCAAAAGAGCACATCAATGCTTTACTGAGATGGCCACATATCAGGGGAAGTGACGATGCGTAGGTAGTCCAAGTTAGCTCAATTTGCGTTGCGACCATCTCGACATGGTTTAGTCCAGACGTTGGTGTATGGTCTCTACTATGGGACCCACAGCGGATCCGATCCTTTACGTACTTGGACTAATCCGACGAATAGCCAACCCCATATGTCTACTTCAACGCATTCTCGCAGTTGCCGCATGCGAGAACTACCAACGTCGCTCCACGAAGACGGTTGGTTACACTGCGTTCGCATCAGGGCGGTTGGTGCGCACGTGCTTCCCTTTCTGGATTCACGTGCTTAATATCCCGTCAACGCCTCCTTCCGTGGCAGATCAAACCCACCGAATCGGATGGAGGGCCGAGATTGAAGGCTGGATTTGTTTTGTAGAGCGTGGCCCCACGTGTCACCTTAATTCCTTCTCTCAACCATGCCCTCGTTTTCATTGTCGTGGCTGTGACCACCGGCGCCATTCATACTGTAGTACCATGATGCCCCCCTGCACACCGGTTAGGTGAAGAAGTTAGCTGTAGCAGGTGCGGGGCATCCGCCCCTGGTTTCTCCGCTCACGTTTGCTGCCAGTAGCGGAAGCTTCTCCTATATATGTACTGCAGCCTTCCTCGTTGGGACAGCAGCAGCAAGCAGCAGCCCTCTTGGAATTGTTCCGACGAGGACCGAGAGAGACCAGATGGCCACCAAGGTCGTGTCTGTGGCGCCCAGGGTGGAGATCCTTGCAAAGAGCGGCATCAACGAGATCCCGACCGAGTACGTCCGCCCCGAGTCGGAGCGGCTCGACCTCGGTGACGCGTTCGAGGAGGTGAAGAAGGCGGCGGAGGGGCCTCAGATTCCTGTGGTGGACCTCCAGGGTTTCGACTCGCCTGATGAAGAGGTGAGAAGGGCGTGCGTGGAGGAGGTGAGGAAGGCGGCGACGGAGTGGGGGGTGATGCACATCGTGAATCACGGCATCCCGTTGGAGCTCGTCGAGCAGCTGAGGAAGGTGGGGAAGGAGTTCTTCGACCTGCCCATAGAGCAGAAGGAGCAGTACGCGAACGACCAGTCATCAGGGAAGATCCAAGGGTACGGGAGCAAGCTGGCGAACAACGCGAGTGGGCAGCTCGAGTGGGAGGACTACTTCTTCCACCTTATATTCCCGGAGGAGAAGATCAACATCTCCATTTGGCCCAAGCAACCAACCGACTACATGTCGGCTTCCGTCTCCCCGTATCCGTATTCCTATTTTTTCTTCTCGTCGTCTTCCTTCAAAGGTTTTCTCTATCCGTCGGTGCAGTGAGGTGACGAAGAAGTTCGGGAGGCAGCTGAGGGCGGTGGTCACCAAGATGCTGGAAGTTCTTTCCCTGGGTCTTGGACTGGAAGAGGGGAAGCTGGACAGGGAACTCGGAGGGATGGAGGACCTGCTGATGCAGTTGAAGATCAACTACTACCCTATCTGCCCACAGCCCGATCTCGCCCTCGGCGTCGAGGCGCACACCGACATCAGCGCGCTCTCCTTCATCCTCCACAACATGGTGCCGGGGCTGCAGATCTACTACGGCGGCAGGTGGGTCACCGCCAAATGCGTGCCGGACTCCATCATCATGCACGTCGGAGACTGCCTCGAGATCCTGAGCAATGGGCAGTACAAGAGCATCCTCCACCGCGGGCTCGTCAACAAGGAGAAGGTGCGCATCTCCTGGGCGGTCTTCTGCGAGCCTCCCAAAGACAAGATCGTGCTGAAGCCACTGGAGGAGCTCGTGGCCGACGGGACGCCGGCCAAGTTCCCCCCGCGCACCTTCGAGCAGCACATCCAGCACAAGCTCTTCAAGAAGACTCGGGGGGACTTCAAGACCCCAAACTGAGATCATCGCCTGTGGTGCAACTGTCCTTTTAGTACATCGTCACGCTTCTACCGTCCCGTGTTAACCACGTTGCTTTCCGGAGTCCAAGTATGTGATTTAGTCGGTCTTCTCCTTGTAGCACCGTCCTCAAAGGTCCATGGAAATGCTCTCCAATAATATGCTATGTATGTTCTCTTGTTCAACCTCATGTCTTAGTCTACTTTGAAATCCTACTCACAATAAACATCATACGATCAGTGGCTGGATGTGTGTTGGAATCTCACTTTGGTCCGCCAAGAACATATCACTAGAGAATGGCCAACACTTTAAAGGAATTTGACATGCAAAGTAATTTCTTAAACAATACATAGCTTAAATTCGTTAATTATAATTGTTAGAGATAAAGATTCAAATTCTGCATGCCCCTTTTAGAAGACCTTTCACCCTATTGGATCGAGTAGTTTATCAAACATATTACTTACTATATTGTCGAAACAAATTTGAATTATGTGGATCATGATTTAATTTTATATTTGGAACAATGAAGATCATGGATTATTTAGATTTTCATCATTGCATTAGGGAAAGTAAACTCGCATTAAGAGCAATATCCTATTGAAACGTTAAATATGTTATCAATTATAGTCCTCCTTGCTATTTGTATCAGCTACCTTTAATTAATGGGCACAAGGAATGAGTCAAACTTACGAACTTATGAATGCAACCATTCTATCTCTCTCTCTCAAAAATGACCTAATGTAACTCTTCCTATTCTTCATCATGACAAACATCCCTATCTTTTATAGTTTCTCACTTATTTTTTTGTTTTTTTCAAGCAAATCCCCTCAAAATTTTAATTTTCTTCACTGTTTATATATATATATATATATATATATATATATATATATATATATATATATATATATATAACAATGTTAGAAGATCTATTATTATTATTATTATTATTATTATTATTATTATTATTATTATTATTCGAAAGGTGCGGGGCCCATGCAACTAACGCCCGTCTCCTCTCATTCGTAACCCCCTCCGACTCTTTTTCGCTTCTCTCCTCTTCATGCTCGTCTCCGATCCTCACTCGTAACCCCCTTCGACTCTTTCTTCTCTCTTCTCCTCTGCTCTCTCTTTCGCATTCCTTGTTTTCTCCTTCCTCCACACTCTCTTTGCTTGGATCGATCTGCAACCGCTGATTCGGTTTGGTCTCTTCTCAGCTCCGGGGTTGGATTTGGAAAAGCTTCGAATGACACACTTGGTTGCTTGAGAGGTCGTTTTGCGGTGTTAGGATTCGTGTGAAACGGAGAGGAAAGGGCCACCGAGAGGTATGGGACTGATCTCGGGGTTGGTGATGGGGTCGTTGGTGGGGATTGCGCTAATGGCCGGTTGGAGCCGCGTGATGAAATCCCGGAGCATCAAGCGCGTCGCCAAGGCACGAATTCTCTGATCTTCTTGGCGCTCTTTTTTTTTGTTTGATCCTTGCTTAATCGTCATGTTTTTCTGAAATTTGCGTAGGAATATGGCATGTTGCTATCGTGATGTCTTTTTTTTTTTTTTACCGTAATGATGAGGCTCTCTGGATCTGGTCTGTTTGATTAGAATGCCACTGCTTTCGAGTTAAGATTGAGAATGGAATTGGGATTTTGCAGGCGGATTAGGAATTTATGATAGTAACTTGCACTTATATACTGGTTTGGTATGTTAGAGTAGCAAAAAATGTATTTGGTATATGTTTAAAACAAACATACGTTGAAACCAACACATTTTAAATTTTGATCTGAAGAGTAGTGTGCGTTTTTTGTTATTGTTTTTTAGGTGGATTTTCTTGTTATTCTTGCAACTTATTTGGTGAATTATTTGTCATTTGTGCGTGTTAAATTTTACAAGGTGAGAGAAATCTAGGAATGGGTTGAAACCAACCCTTTCATTACCATCAGAATTTTGTGTTAATTGCAATTTATTTTTTTATAATAATTTTTTACTATATTAAATTGTGTATATGACACACACATGTGGACTCGAACATGAGACCAACCAATCACTTGTGCAACAATGCACTGATCATCGGTTGTCTCAAACTCTCAATAAAGACTGTAATTTATTTTTAAATTTGATCCTTTAAATTAGTATAAGAAGCGTTTATTGCTGATTTGACAAAAGCCTGATTGAAAACTTAATCCCCACCTCCCTTTTCTTTTCTGGCCATACAATTATCACCCATGGTTTCAAATGGCAAATGAACTTTCACTAATTGATATCTGGCCATAAGTAACATCTTGGTATGACTGAATTCTTATGCAGCCATATTTCTTGGATTTTAAAATTGTTGTTTGGGTGAGGATGTGGAAATTGAAGGATAGTCAATATATGCTGCAAGTTAAACTGTGTCAACGTAGAAGGTCGATTAAGTCTTATCTTGAAGCTTGAGATTTCTACCTGTAAACTTTACACTAAAATAAAACCAACAGATTTTCTTTTATATGGTAGCTTATATTGTTCAACTTGTTTCTTGTATTTTTCTGTATATTGATATAACTGCATTTTTGTGTTAAATTTACAATGGTCACACTAGATGTCCATGGTTAGCTCAGCAGTGGTTTTAGTGGAATGGATATCTAATCCAGATACAAACAACATGCTTCTATCTCAGATGTCCATGGTCATTTTTATTAAAAGTTGAAACCATTATGCTTCTTGACCAAAAAAAAAAAGACAAGGAATTGAAAAGGTGAGTTCCATGCTGTTGCTTATGTTCTCTTCTTTACAGGCTGTTGATATAAAACTTTTAGGGTTTCTGGGCAGAGATGATTTGAAGAAACTTTGTGGTGACAGTTACCCTGAATGGGTTTCCTTCCCTTTATTTGAACAGGTTAGCTCAATGGATCATTACCTTTTATTTATGACATGCCTGTTGGATGGATATTTTTAGTCATCAGGTACCTTAGGTTAGCTTCCACTAGCAATTTGAAGTAGTCCAGCAATTGATTTTACCAAATATTTGAATGGTTCCTTGATAATGTTAGCAGAGTAAGAGAGAAAGAGATGCAGATGAAAACTAAAATTATATGGATTGACAATATTTTAATCACATTGTGAAGTAGTGTTTGTGATTTTGACTATGAAGGATACTTCAAAATTTTAGATGTCATAATACAATTTGAAATATTTTTGTTTAACATTTTCTTTAGCTGGATTAATTTTAAAACAAAAACTGTAGCCTTTATATGGACATTTGAATTTCATCTTTTCATACCTTAGTATGGTAGAAAAAAGCCTATAATGGTAGAGAAATAGTAAACTTCACTTGCAACTGCATGCTAGAGAAGCATAAAACAGAGCTACGATTCTACCACAAAACTACTTTCAAACTATTCTTCGAAAACTTCAAAATCTGTGTTATAATTTTTAGATTATGTAAGTCATTGTCTATATTTTTTCAACCTGTGTCTTATGGAAGTTACTTTGACTATCGAAGTATTTTAGTTTTATTGGTTATCCAAATTTGAATGAACATGGTGGTTCCAACTCTACTTCCAAGAAATACCTAGGACCATTTTTTGTGTAAATAAATGTAATAGAAGATTAGAACAAAAACTTTACCACTAGATTACTTTTAGACCATTCCTTGAAAACCTCAAAATCTGCTTAATTTAGGGATCATGCGAGTTATAGACTATATATCTTTCATGTTTTCTGAAAATTAGTTTGTCTTGTTTGTTTCATGATTTTTATAGTTACTTAGACCTATAGATAATCTGAAAATCTTAAAGGAGACCATAGATGCTCTTGATTTAATTAGAGATCTTGCATTTTATAGATCTCATTGGTGGGAAAAGATGTACATGATATTATGGATTTTATTGTTGTAGTTAGACCGTGGAAGTTTTAGGTTCCAGTTTTCCACATGGTGCCTAAATATCCCTCATGTTTGCAATTCAATATTCTTTTACATGGTTGACAATGGAAAATAGGATGTAATTATAGGAATTTTTTTTAAGTAGTGGATTCCTGAGGCATTATGTTCCACTTACAGTTAACTAAGTGAAAATATCGATCAAATTTTTTTTATGGCTTGACCATTTAGAGCATAATTGACTTCACTCAGTCAGAAACTAACCGGTTCTTTTGCTAATGCTTTAAATCAAGTGGAGTATAAAAACCTTTTAGAAAGATTAAGTGGTGCTAGGTTGGGTAGTTGATCATGGTTTTAATGGTTTTATGGAGGGAGAGTAATAAGAGGCTATTTAATGACTTAGCCATACAAACTTTATCTATAGCTAAAGAAGCTATCAGAATTCTTCTTTCTGAAGCTTGATAACCTGTATGGAATTGACCAACCTTTGAAGATTCTTTCAAATGCAATGCTCTTATCTTTGTGAAATCAGTCATAACAACTTGTGGTTGATTCTCTTTCTGTTCCTTTGATCCTTTCTCCTTCCCCCTCTTTCCCCTACCACCCCACCCTCCCCCTCTTCTCTTTTCTCCTCTTTCTTTTCTCTGCTCTCTTGCAATTATTTCACCACTTCAATGAAATAAGCGCATAGTTTTCTGCCTTTCCCTTATAAAAGACGTTCATATAAGGGAAAACTTTGTTCCCAATCTGCACTTGTCACATTTGACAAATTTCTTTGTGTTTTACTTAATTATAGTTTCTGCATTTGTTGACTTCAAAAAATGGTCTTTTCTGTTTCGTGGCTTCTACAGGTGAAATGGCTGAACAAGCTGCTGGGTAAATTGTGGCCTTTTATTGCAGATGTAAGCTACTTGTGGTTTTTTTCTCTATCTGAATATTTTGAATGCATTAACCTATATTGCACTCTATTGACTAGAGAATATTTATAAATGCAACTTCATTCCCTTTTAATTCTTGTTTATTGGGCTGAGAAACTTTGGCTTTGGATGTTCCCAAAATGGATTGGATCAGCTTTCAGGCCCATGTCTCGTTTATTGGGGTGAGAAACTTTGGCATTGGATGTTCCCAAAATGGATTGGATCAGCTTTCAAGCCCATGTCTCGAGGTACTGCAGAAGAGAAAACTGCAAAATCTGATCTAGGGATCAATTTGGCTCTCTCAATTTTTCTTTTAATGAAGCAAAAATAAAGAGATGTAGATAAATGGAAGGTTGTTAGAAAGAGAGAATAAAAATATCAATCATACCACAGTTCCAATAAAGGGAAACCAAGGAACATATGTCTTCACCTGTAGATGTATATACCTCATGTGAGTCGACTTTAAATCCATGCATAACAAATACAACAACAACAATAACAAAGGTGTAAGTCCAAAAATCCATTTATAACAAATCATGGAAAAAATACAAATGAAGCATCATATCTAAATTAATAAAAAAGTCCAAACATGGTGCTAGTTAGATTGTGTTGTGAGCAAAAGAACTGAAATGGTGCCATAAAGGAAATATTTACCAAGTAACAAAAAATAGTGCTTTAAATCTACCACAAGTATGTAAGAGTCAAACTTCCCTAATTTTCTTCCTTGAACTCCATTTTGCTGATATGGTCACTGGTTGAACTTGGATCAATTCCTTGGGGTCAATGTGAAGTTGAATTAAGTCTACTGGTCATTAGGTCTAGTGTAGTTTATTCATGTCAATAAGATGGAAGTGATGCAATCCCAGTAAATTTATGCTTAGTTTCAAGCCAAAATCAGGATCAGTTTGAGGCAAGTCAGATTTTGGTTCATTATGGATCTTGATTCCCAATTTTGGAATTTATGGGTGGAATTTTGTCACTTTTTTATTAGTATTTAGAAGTTATAAATAAAACCAAATTGGTAACTTGTCCCTCAAATGATATACACTGTCAATCAATCTTTTGATCAGTTATTTTCTTTTCTCCCTATTCTTTATATCATTCTCCTTTTTTTTTAACTATTACATTGCTACTAAATTTAACTTTTTAAGTTTTTATAGAACTGTTATCTCTTTATTTTTTTTTCCTGTTAGTAACAACCTGCTCTTTGCTCATTAAAGCTGCCTTATTGCTAGAATTCAACCAGATCATCATGCTATCTGAACCCTAAACCCTATTTCTTAGATGTATCCTGAATTTGCCACTTGAATAAGAAGTTCTGATGGTTTCATTTCTCGAGATATTGGATAAGAAGGGACGTTTTAGAACAGATATGAACTACTGGTGGTATGATTAGTCTGACTTTGAGCAGCGAAGTAGCATATAATCTGCTTATGATTGAGATAATACCAAATGACCAGTTGTTATGTTGGAAATAAGATAGTAAATATGGTAAAAAGAGAACTCAATTGATATATATAAAGAATGAGGATGAGCCTTGGTATAATGGTAAGATTGCTCCTTTGTGGTTTTGCGGACCAGAGTTGGAATCACAAAAAACAACCCCTCTACTTGTAGAGGTCAAATTGCATACATCAACCCTTGTCAGATGTCACATTGGTGGGTGCTTGGAGCATTAGGTTTGCTCTTTTTAATAGATATCTATAAAGAATATTGACATGAAATAAAGAATAAAATAACAAATATATAGGTATCCATACTAAATGGAAGATAGAGGAGCCTAGATATAATCTGAACAAATTTGGACTCACAAAGACTATACCTAAACTTTTAGAAATGAGGGGCAATGGAATAAGTCAATGAACACTTAGGAAAGATAAGAAAATTTCAGGGTAAATCAAAAGGTAAAATGAATTTTTGCATTTGAGTATCATTTATTAATAAGAGGAATTTGTTTCTATTTTCAACAAGTATCGGCATGTATGGAGGATAATACGAAATTCATTGAGCCCTTGGAATCAGGTACTTATAAATCAACTATCTACATGGTAGAATATTAATGTTTTACTTCCAATTTCGTGAACTAGTTCTTCAATAAAAGAAATAGTTCTTTGCTCACATGTTCCGTGCTCGAAAAATGAAAAATTGCAAGCACCATTTATCTAATACTCATATCCAAGAAATAATACATAAATATATATGTTCCAGAACTTGATCTCCTACCCTAGCCATGGGCATGCACACAAGCACACTGAAGGTAGAAAAGTAAATTGACTATTCAATGTGAGTGCTTGCATACTGCTTTTGTCTTGTTTTCTTTTATGCAGGCTATATAGCAAATTCTTGCAGCTGCTGGGTAAATGATGTTTATTTGGTATATCAACTCTGCCTACAAGTTAGTTTATAGGTTTTTATGGTCTTAGGCAGCAACATTGGTAATCAAGGATACAGTTGAACCATTACTGGACGATTATCGACCACCGGGAATATCTTCACTAAAGTTCAGCAAGCTATCTCTTGGGAATGTGCCACCAAAAATTGAAGGTTTGTACAGGATGCAGTTTTAGTTTGCAGCTTCAAGTAGTTGATAATTATCTACTGTGCTCATTAATTGTTGTAACTTTGCTGGTGCTTAACAGGTGAGATTAATTCAATTGCATTGGACCTTTTCCAGATTGCTTAAAGAATGAAATAAGCAATGCTATTTTAGCATCAAGATTTACCATGTGTTTTATTGAATCATTTTGAAAAATTGTGAAGATTCTACTTTTTGCAGCACTGGTGAAATTGTGCCTATTTATGCATGCAAGGGCATATATGACTATTTGCAATGCTTCAAGGGACACAACTTTGGAGGAATAAATACTAAAATTGATACCTTTCAGGAGTACATGAGAAAATTGCCATTATAGAAACAGTTTGTCATATACATGACTAATGCTCATACAACATCTTTTTTTTAATCTCAGAAGAAATTTTTTGGTGATGTTTATGGCTTGTGGATCTAGCCTTACTTCTTTCCCATAGTCAAATAGATTTACTAAATATTTCTTTCAGTTATCCACTTTTGGCACAGCTTTCTACTTGTGGAGAATCAGTATTCTCATTGATTCTCACTTGTTTGCTTATAATGATGTTAGTGTTGTGTTCATAAATAATTATCGAGTTTTATCAAAATGTTCCTATCACGTTCCAAATTTCAATATTGTACATATCTTTTGCTAATTCATGAAGAGGAAAAGGTTAATTCTATTGCTCACTATAGAATAGCTGGTTTTCTTATGTTAAATGATACATTATATTTCATGTATTTGCCATTTTGCAAAGGAATCCGTGTTCAAAGCCTCAAAAAAGGACAACTTATAATGGACATTGATTTCCGTTGGGGTGGAGATTTAAGCATAATTCTCGCAGTTGAAGCACTTGTTGCTTCATTGCCTATTCAGGTTAGTTTGTTTGGTTGTAACAATTACTTGATATATATTTAAGCAGATGTATCATACTCAGTTTACATCACAGTTCGGTATTGATGAGGTTTTACATGTTACTTTATATCTGTGATTACAGTTGAAGGATCTTCAGGTCTTTACTGTGATACGTGTTATATTTCAACTTTCTGAAGAGATACCCTGCATTTCTGCTGTTGTTGTTGCGCTTCTGGCTGAGGTATGTTTAGGGCTATTGCTTGTTTCTATTGAGAATCTAATCTATACTGATATAGATGTATATGGTCTTTTCCTATTTTTATTACATAAAATACTTGTGATGTATGATTAAAATGTTGGGATTATTAAAACCAATGAATTGTTTGTTATGATAATCTCATGTTTTTTTATTTGCAATGAGGGGATAAAATATATATTTAGGTACCATACCGGTATCTAAATAGAACACTGTTTTAAATGATCGAGTTCATTGTGAATTCAGTGTTTGGTTCGAGTGAGTTGAGTAAAGAGTTGATATACAGCCATTTATAAGGTAAATTTATTTGGAAATTAGCCAATGTTTTAATTTATCATTGATATTTAAACTTTAATCCTGAAATATGGAATCATATTATATCATGCTAAAATCACTAGAATGCTAATCAGTCATTCAATAATACTTCATGCTTAGGATTCATTAATATATTTATTAGTTGCTTATGCGATTGCCGCAAAGTTGCATACTCTGCTCCCAATAAAAGTTGTGGCACGTTAACTTAAGTTTACGAATCACTAATATGATCAATAAGCTTTAGTCTATGACCACTTCTGTAATGATTTTTGTTATTCTACTAGGCTATCTTTAGTAGTTTTGTGTTGCTAGCCACACAGAACTTTGAAGAACTTGCTGGAAGTCAAGTGACAATATAGAGTTCCTTGGAATTTATATTGTGGCCATATTGCATGAACTCCATATTACTTGATTGAAATGGTCAAAATATGATGTCAAATTTTATTTTAAACTTTAAATTTTGAATCAGGAGCACTAACGACACATCTAGTCTTGTACAATCTTCAAATTGGTGAAATTTGGATATTAGATAGATAATCATGTGCAAAATATTTTAAGCTACAAATTGTAGGTATTAGTCACAAAATTATTGCCATATCTTGTCATCTATCTTCCTAGATGGCTTCTAGATATTTGAGTTTAACCAATATACGCAAATAACAGTTCTCTTTGTTCTGGCATCTGAATTGTTTTATGATAGCAGTGATGCTTGGAACTTTTTGGTATCCAATATTTGCAATGATAAAATATTTTTCTTTCAGCCAAAGCCTAGAATAGATTATACATTGAAGGCTGTAGGAGGGAGCTTAACAGCTATTCCTGGGCTTTCAGACATGATTGATGTAAGTTTAGTTTGATAACTGTACAAATTCATTTTCAATTAGTGGGCTATTTGATGCAAATTTATCTAAATCTTGTTATATAGGACACTGTTACCTCAATAGTCACTGATATGCTTGAATGGCCACACAGAATTGTTGTTCCACTTGGTGGAGTGGATGTCGATACAAGGTCTATTTCCGTTCCTTGTACTTCTGTTATGATGTTTTGGTTTCAGTAAAGAGAGTTAGTTTGTATGTTTGAAGGTTGTAGTAGACATATTTTAAGCTGGTCTTGCAATGATTATCTCTTAACTTCTGTACTTTCTAAAAGGAATCTATTATTTTCATCTTGAGATTATTTAGAATTATTTAATTTCTATAAACTTATTAACAATTCATCATATCAACATATATTGCATCATGGAACTATTAAGAAATTGAAAAGTTATTGTCAAGATTTCCAATTTCAGGTACCAGACCTGTGACAATTTGTAACCGGACCAGCATGAGTCCAGATACCAATGGTATGATATAACATACAATGGTACAAATATGAGGGGAGGGGAATGGGGGAGGAGGTGGAGAATGATAAGAAGAAGAGGAGGTGGTGAAGAAGAAGAGGAGGAGGAGGAAGTAGAGGCGCTAAACAAGGGCTGGGAGCAGTGGGCAGGGTCCAGAGGCAATGGGCAGCAAGATAGGAGTTAGGCGTGAGTAGACTTCGTGAAGAGAGAAAGAAACACGCTTTGGGGTGGCTGGGTGGGTTTGGTATTAGGGTTAAAAAATTAAATTAATAAATTAATAAAAAAATCAGGCTTATCACTCGGTTCACAGGGCTTACTGGTCAGTAAGCCTGTTTAAGAAGTAGATCGCCCTGTTTAATATTAGCTTCTCTGAAATTCCATTAGTCAAATCTATTATATTGTGAAATGCACTTAAAATTTTATTTTGTTACCAAAAGTATTTCCTAATTGAGTTGCTTAAATTTTGAAGTGCTAAATAAAGAAAAACTAAAAACAGTTTGAATACGAGTGTTCACATTACCATTGACCATCTTTATTGTCCATTTATGGGATGATAATGCATGAAGCATATAATTTAGCATTTCACTATATAAATTTGTAGTTGTACTGTCCCTTTTGCTGGCACTTATTAGTAACCACAAAACAAGGATTTAAATATCTGTTTGATACCAGTTTCCATAACCTTTTGGTTTGGTACGATACCAGTAGGATGATATATCAATCCATACCATCTGATATTGGTTAAAATAATAAAAAGTTAAAAATGAACTGATTTATACCAATATCAAGTTATACATTTCAATGTCAACACCTGGTCGGACGGGTAAATAGTAGTAGGTATTTATTCACCAGTCTGATTGATACTCAAAACTTTGTACCAAACTGAAAACCACCTGCACTTTCAGATTCAGATGTATGATAGTAGATGATTTAAAAATAGGTTAGGCATTGACCCAGCATATGAGTTATATGTTCTTAGTGACACTTTAATCCCTATTCATGAGGTTATTTTTTTTGTTGTTTCCCATAGTGAAGTTTCTTTGTTTTCTTCTCTTCTTTTGGATTGTTTCCATGTCTGAAGGAACTTCAAATTGTCTGCATGTAGTTGATCTTTTTTACTTCCCCTATACTGATGGGAAAGGGCTCTTGTTTAGAAATGCTGATGACTCTTCATGTAATTAAGCACTCTTGATGTTTTCATCTTTCTGTTTTGGTGATTACATTCTAGTCCTATCCACATCTATTGTGTTTAGGTAAATTTAAAAAATGAAATTTCATCTTCAACTTTATTATTCACCCGAAAATTTGACTCTGTTTTTCAGATTCTATCTCCTCTTTGACGACCTATACTTTATTTATTGTGTCGTGCAGTGAACTAGAGCTTAAACCACAGGGAAAGCTCACAGTAACCATAGTGAAAGCAAATAATCTGAAAAATCAAGAATTTGTTGGAAAATCCGATCCGTATGTGGTTTTATTTGTCCGCCCTGTGTTCAAGGTTAAAACAAAGGTAGTTGATGACAATCTCAGTCCTGTATGGAATGAAACTTTTGAACTGATTGCTGAAGACAAGGAAACACAATCTGTTACTTTTGAGGTATGATTTCGCATCTGACTCTTCTTCTATATACTTGGTGATATTTACATCATAATTGCGAATAGCCGAATATAGACATGGGTATTTGAGTCATATGCATGTCCAAGCTCCAGTTTCTCAAGGAGATGAAAAGGAGATAGATATGGAGATGTGTAGTAATAAATATTAAATAATATATTATGATATTTGTTAAATTATATTTTAATATGTGAAAATGTGACAAGCATAAGATATGTTAAGAAGACTCAATAACCCAGAAATTCCACTTCGTAGTAGGATGACCTTGTTGTTGAATGTCCACCAGCTACTTAATATTTAAAATTGACAGCCAAAAGTTCCAAAAGAAGTCCAGTTTATGAATATGCATTCTGTGGATATGTATCATACACAAATTTCCGGGGTGGGCTGCTGGCTTTGAGGAAACAATATACTTTTTTTATGAACAATTCTTTTTGTCATTTGTAGCAGAAGTCTCTTGATCATTCACTTAGCCGAGCATTTTATGGAGGATTCTTTAATATGCTTTTTGCTGCTCATAGGAGATTTGTCATTTTAGATCCATTCCAACAATGAATTTGAGTTTAATCATTGTTGATTGTCTCTATATATTCTTTTGATTTCAAAGTGTGGCTCTATGTAGATGTGAGTTGTATTTTTCAGTTGAAACAAGTCTAAACATGAACAATGTGCACAAAGCTTGACATTGGAAGCTAGCAATGCATAAAAACTATTAAAGACATCCATATTACCATTACTAGTGAAGGAAAGGCAAATATATTAACACTTGTCTTCCATCACAAGTATGGACATCACATTTGCCATGCTGCCTTTAGTTATAGTATATTGTATCTTTGAGAAGTAAAAGTTCAGTTCTTGTTCAATGTGTTAGTGTAGCCCTTTGTTTGTGAATTAAAACTTTTCTTACACTTGATGAACGTTAGGTAGATTTTATTGACATTAGTGTTTGTTGATTCTTTTAACAAAATAAATCTTTTCAATCTAAATTATGACGTTTGACAGCTATTGCATCAATCTTACTGCTGCTACTCCATATGTTTTAGATGTAGGTTGGGTTTTAGGTTAATCCTTCATCCATCCTGACTTTGGGATCATGATGGAATATATGAGTCCCAACCCCAATCCCTTAGTACTGATTAGGATGGCTGGGCTGATTTTGCCAGAATCGAACCAAGTCACAGTCCATCCTTAATCACGTTTAAGAAACTTATGTAATTGATTTAGTAACATTGTGTTTGCATCCCTAAGCCTACCATTTGTGAATGCAATTTGGCTTTGTTGTGAGAAGCAAGAGAGCTGCCAATACAATGTGAAACCACGGTTAGAAGTTACCGGCTTGATACAAATACTAAATTTGATTTGAACCACTACAGTACCCACATCAAGCCATACTAGGTGCTGGTATGGCTAGGTATTGACAGATCCGGTCGACATCCATGTTGGACTGGTTCTTTCCTCTCTTATCTGCTGATATTTGTATGATGAAAAAAACATAAATCAATTTAACTAAAATACTAAAATTAGAAAACATTTTTAATAATGAGTCATATATCTATAATGAATAGTATGTTTAATTTACATGATATTACAAACTTTGTCCATAACATGTCTTGCTGTCCCTCACTAAATGAGTGTTTGTGCTATCTCAGGCATTGCCTGTGACTAGAGGTCATATATTGCTCCTAGGTCATATGCTATTGGTAGACATGCTAATAAGATGAACAATATCAACAATGGAACATCAGTCAGGTAGGGATCTGTATACCTTTATATGATGCTTCACCCCAACAGAGTTGGGAGGAAAAGATATGGCAGTAGAGGCCATCCAGACATTGGTTGTTGTAAATCTTTAACTCAGTTCATTAAAACTAGGTTTCAATACTATTTTATGGCCCATGAAATAAATGCCTGTAGAAAGATAGTGAACATGAGTAATAGCATACTCAAATTTTGGTAAGGCTCTCCCTAATTTGTCAAGGTAATAAATTGCCTTTCCTAACTCTTTCCCTTCCTTTCATGAACTCTAGTGGATTGTTTGGTGCCATGGTATTGATCCTAGGTGGTGTGAGTAAATATCTGGTCCTCTATTCACATGCTACCACTTTGGATCATGGAATAAGATCCTTGCCATGATAATTATTGTTAACATGAAATACAAAATCCTTAGTTCAGTTAGGTTTGACTGTCACTGGTCGATGGCCGATCGAGATGTGGTCCAACCCCATTTTGAGCTGTCCACTTCGAGTTAACAAAATCTTAGGGCTCATGCATGAGCCCTCCATGCCTGCTCGTGAGCTTGTACTGTTGCTCTCTCACGTTGCCCACCTGTTGCTGTTGCTCACTGCCATTGCCTGTCATATGTGGATATCTCTCCTCCTCTTTCTTCATTGTTTCCTCTTCCTCCACCTCCTCTCCTCCATTGACTCCTCTTCCCTCTCCTATGTCGCCTCCTCTTCCTCCTTTGTCTTCTTCCTTCTTCCTCTTCTCCTTCCACCCTAAATTGTTCCACAATATATGTATCAACATACGGACATATAGTATACTGATATGGTTTGGAACCGTACCAGTTTGAGCCAGGATGATACGGGTTTGGTACCTCCTGAGATTTTGATCCTTTATTGTTAACAACATTATTGTCATTGAACCAAAACTGTCCTGAATCAAACGGTGAGGCTTGCTATCCTTAAATTGTTGATAATCTAACATTGTCGTCACTCCTTGGAGGACTTACTTCTCGTAAGACACTCAAATCTTGCATTGTCATCCTCCCCATTTTGAACCGTGAAGGAGGTTGAGATTTGGTCTTGTTGGTCTAAGAATCTAAATCTTTGTTCCCCCTGATTTGTTCAACATTGAATTTAGATGGACGTGGTGAACCTCTTCCCTTGTTGAGCAATGGATAGTCCTGATTCTTCACTATGCATCACTAATCTAGCATAGCATGTATTGCATTCTGCATATAATTGGAGTCTACCTTGGCCTTCTCCCTCTCTTGATCCTCAATGAAGTACTGCAGACATGACACATATTATGGTAAAATATACTAATTTCTCCAAGATTTGCATAAAAGACAGTTTTTCATTCATTCATGCACCAAAGAGAAGGTCAACCAATTTCAGTGACATCCACTTGGTGATGTGTTATACATTTGAAACCACATAATATATTTTTTCAGATGAGTTGTGTTATACAATAGAAACCACAAGTTTCTCAAAACAGATGTCTCATAAAGGTACAATAACTCAATTAATACCACATGTATTGTCAAGGATGATGACTTTCAAACATGTCGATCGTGCCTTCATGCTAGGTTGACACTTTGCTATGATATGGTATCAGTTCCTGGGAACATTGATGAGTATGCTTAGTGAACATATTGACATGTAGATATGACTAATGCAGAGCTGGCCTAGATATTTGTAGACTTTGGTAGGATCCACATTGAATATGCACAGATCTATGCCTAGATGTACCAGAAATTATCTCGGATCCACATGTGTAGAGGTTGGATGATCTACCTCGATATAATTTAATAGGTCTAGCCCTGTTCTAGGCTAGATTGGTGCCAATTCTGATACCAAAGCGAGGTCACAGGTCTAGGCTGGATTCGTGTAGATCTGTGCTTGATCTAGTCCATAATTATGATATATGTCAACATTAAAGCTTAATGCTAAGTCGATAAATGAAAATCAATGCTTTTAACAAAAATCTTATCTTAAAATTCGATGGTTTGGAGTGAGAATATTTCTATTGAGGATGCGGCATCACTGGATCTTCGAAACAGAGAGCATGAAAACAAGAGATGGGAAAAGAGGGCTGTACTAGAATGACATGAAGATTTCTTGCCTGAAATCTTCTGCCCATGGGCTTTCAAAATGATAATAAGATGCTATATATTGGGTGGTAAACCTAATCCTCCAGCACAGGGTTAGCAGTATGTCTTGTATTTGATAAATACCAGTCAGTAAGCTCAGTTACAATTTTTACCAACTGGTATCGATGGATCCTTGTACCAGTTTGGGCTTGGACCAGAAAAAACCAGTTGATGCTTATCAGTGGGAGCAGTTTTTAACCTTCTATAAAACAGTGATTTAAAAAGCGTTAGGCGTCAAAAGACACCAAGGTCCAAAAACGTCCGAGGCGCTAGGCGCTCGCCCGAACGAAGCGAGGCGCTAAAATATTAAAATATATCATATAATTATTTAACAGTATTAAAATCAAAATAATATATCATTAATCTAATAAATACAAATACATTATTGTTACTAGTATACTGTTAACAGTATACTTTCGAAAGAGGAGAAGGAAGAGGAGTATAAGAGAAGACCGAGGGTGCAGCGACAACGGTAAAAATGAGCAGCGGCAGCGAGAGCGGCGAGCGATGATAGTGGCAACGGCAACGGCGAGTAGCGGGAGCGGTAGCGTGAACGCGAGTAGGGTTAGGGTTGGGCAGCGGCAGCTAATATCGGTGCTTTAGTTGGTTCGATTGAACCAACTAAAGCACCAGAGACTGAACCAAACCTAAAACGTTAGTTCGGTTGCCTGGTTTAACCCAAGCGCTCACCCGAAGCACCCAGGTGGCGCCTCTTTGAAGCGTGTTGCCTGGAAGTGAAGTGAGGCGCTCAGGCCTCGCCTCATCTCGCCTCGCCCGAGCGCCTATTGAAATCACTGCTGTAAAACAAATTTTATGCAAATATATAACAACAAAAATATGTTTAAAGATTGCATCCTGTATCGAGACCTGAACTCTAGTGGTCAACACGAAACAACTAGCATCTCAGCATTTAAGGCCAACAAGACGAGTCTAAAGTGTATACAAAATGACCAAATGGACTTTACAGGCCTTTTTATTATGCTTTAGTTTAGCATAGCTGTAGTTGATAATCTTTTATGACTTGTCAAGGGCTACTCCTGTGTGCCAGGCATCAAAGATTAAAGTCACAGAAGCGGCCTATGCTTGCAGAACTAAGGCTGCATATATTGAGCATTCCTTCCTCCTTTCTGACAACTCTGCATTAGCAGGAACCTCATGCATTTGGTCATCCCTTTTTGATAATCACTAATGCATTAGCCCTAGTTTTAGACGTACCCTGCATTCCATAATGTGAACAAAGAAGTGCTTTCTTCTTTTAAGTATAAACTAATTCAGATTTATGATTGCTGGTCCTTTGCACAGGTATATGATGAAGACAAACTTCAACAAGATAAGAGAATGGGCATTGCAAAGTTATCTTTGAATGACTTGGAACCTAAAACCTTGAAGGAAATTGAGCTAAGCTTACTGACATCATTAGATACACTGAAGGTTAAGGATAAGAAGGATAGAGGAACTCTTACGATAAAGGTCAGTGGTTTATATTATCTCCCTCCATTTATTTGTTCTATGTGTATGTGAGAATTGTGTGCAAGAGATTATTCACGTTGCATAATAAAGATGCTATGGTTATGAATCTATTTAGTATTTTATGTCATCAAATAAAAATTTAGAGTTAAACAAGGCTACTTGAAGAATGGCTTCAAAAACTGTATTCATGTATTTAGTTCATTTTGATGTGCATGGTTTGATTGAGATACACAGATGACTCTTTGTTTTAGCAAAATTGCCTAAGAGAACCTACATGTAGTTTCTATATATTTATTTTTATAATGACCAGTTACTCTACTTTCCTTTGAATTGATTCACCATTCTGTCTCTTATTCCCTTCCCCTATTGGTATTCGTTGATGTGTTGCTTGTTTTTTGGATTTTATTCTTGTGCAGAAGATTCATTGACATTAACAATTGCAAATGTCAAATATTCTGACTTAATTGTTTCCTTTCTTCCTTTAACTTGATTATAATAGAGTAAACTAATTGCTCCATGCTAGAAGCAGTTGTTAGTAGGGTTGCGCATTCTATGACGGCATAATGTTGAATCCTCTCATGACTTCAATTCTTGAGCAGCATTTATTTCTGCAATTCTTTTACTTATCAACAATAGAAAACTTGCATACTGTTGCATGTTGCTTAATTATTAAGTTGAAAGATCATGGCATTTTTCTAATATGTTTTTCTTTTTCAACCAAACAGGGCTCCTTTGAGAAAATAAGTCTTCTACAATAAATTTAATTATGTCTAATATTCTATACAATTTTTTTTTGTGTGTGTGTGTATGGTGGGTTGCAGGATCATTGATATCTTCAACTAAGAGATGAGTTTTACCAGGAACCTTGGATAAATAAGTTGGTTGGATCCATGGATGAGATCTCCTATGGACTGCCACAGGGCACTGCTTTCTGAAACATGCATTTCTATTTTCATTATTCAACTAGAAAACCATGTTGTGCGATCATAGGGTGAATGGTGAAGAAAATTACTTCAAAAAATATATACAATTATATTAAAAAACCGAAAAATAAACAGGTAAATGACCATGGATGTGCAAGATCTTCTTGCCATCTGTAAATACTGGTACTGGTGCTGGTAGTAGTGTGCGTGCATCCCATAGTATATACGATGAAGTTACTGACGATCCTTGCAGGTGCTGTATCACCCATTCACCAAAGAGGAACAGCTAGTGGCCCTAGAAGAAGAGAAGAGAACCGTAGAGGAGAGAAGGAAACTGAAGGAGGCCGGAGTTATCGGGAGCACGATGGACGCGTTCGGTGGGGCTGCATCCCTGGTTGGTTCAGGGGTGGGGATCGTCGGCACAGGCCTGGAATCAGGTGTGGGCATGGTGGGCACAGGCATCGGAACCGGTGTTGGTATGGTCGGATCAGGTCTCGGTGCTGGTGTTGGGATCGTAGGAACTGGACTCGGTGCTTTCGGCAGTGGTCTCAGCAGAGCTGGAAAGTTCATGGGCAAGAGCGTGACAAACCAGTTCAGCAGTTCTAAGCGGAACTTTAGCGGCCCCTTCCCTGCCGTGCAAGGAGATGGAAATGCAAGTTAGCTTAGTTGTGTTTTGCCATTTGTATGGTTTACTTCTTCCCCCTATGCTTATTGTTTCACTTGCTTTCGATTGTTCGGTCTACCTTCTGTGGACTGTTTGCTTCTTGCCGCATTCATCATCTTTGAAGATTGTAGCTGATAAAAGCAAGGAATTATGTTATTTGTTGTACTACATAAATCATCATAACCTTGTTATGTTGGATTATTCGTGTCTAGATAACCTTGGAAAAGAAAATACTAGTAAAACCCAGCAGTACATATAAAGGTTACCTATCCCTAATCAGATTCTTCTCATCATAGTTTGACGGGAGCTACGCTTTCTCTGGTCAAGCTTTTGCAAGAACACACTTGATAAAGCATTGATTTGATGAGAACATCCTTCCATAATTTCCTGATGCCCCATGAAGATTACTACTACCTTCAAGAAATTTGAATGTCAAACTAACTTTTAAGAATATTTGATGCATATGAATCATCAACCAATCTGGCCTTAAGAGGCCGACTTACCAACAACTACATGCTATTTTCTAGGCCGAAACCTGAGTCATTGCTCATAAAGAGTGTTCATGAAGTTCCATTATCATGCTGCACTATTTGAGGAGTATTATTGAAGTATAACGATACAACTTTCTCTTGTGATTTTTGTCATAAGTCATTCATTCACTTCTGTCGATATCGATGTCGATGGCAAGACGGTGGAAGATGCAGCTAGTGGCTCATGAACTACTGAGTTGGTTGAAACAAACACAGGGTTCCCCTCCAGTTGCAGCATGATGCTCCCAAGAATCTCCGTCAGTGTTCTCTTGAACCCTGCTTCCTCCACAATTTTACCATCATCTCCTTTTACCATACCGATCGCCTCATTGATGATAACATCAACCTGCAACATTACAGATGGCAAAATGCTTTACGCTCTGAAGTCCTAATTCAGCCTAGATTGACTTGAGTTCATAAGTTGTCGTGATTTCTAGAAGTTGTCGTGATTTTGGAATAATCTATGCATCTAGATCATAAGTTTACACGATCTGGGCAGTTGCATTACCTGATCAACAGCGCTGTAAGGAGGTAAACTTGCTGATGCAGCCATGCGATCGAGTGCAATTCGAAGGTACTCTTTTGAGGTTTGTTGATTGTGATCTTTCGGTAGGTCTCTCCAGACAGAATCCAGAAGCTGTATCATTAAGTAAATGAAGAAATTAACTGAAGGGTAAGATAACAATCTGCCAACTTCTTGGAATCAGTGGATGTATAAATTAACTGAAGGCTGAGATAGTACTTTGCTAAAATCTTTGCATCCGCCAACAATGACATAAACAAGCTTCGAGTAAAAATAACTCCAGTTATGAGCCTATCTAGTAGAATTTTTAGGAGAGTCTTACGCATCTCACAATGTTGTCTTCTCCATCTACCTCCTCATAATTTGTTATGAATAATTAAGAAATCAATATATGCATAATTAAATGCATAGTCACATCAGGCTTTGTTATCTACATTCTTTAACAGAACTTGAATATCATGCCTCTTTTCCTGCTCACCAAATGTTTACGATAAACTGATTACTGCAAAACAAAGCACATATTTGTAGATCTCTTTTTTCCTATTTATTTTTGGGTAAGTTGTAAGTACCATTTATTTCAAAAGCTTTAGTTGTAAAAAATAATACATATATTAGAGTAGCACAATTGAACAATTCAGAAACCATGCATTAAGGTATGGAAAAGAATACAAAATTCAATAAACTGGACAGCGACTGACCTTATCCAACTCAAACTTGTTCGAGAGAAGTCTCTTGATGCCACTTCCATCAAAGGTGTTCTCGCTGTGAGCAACAATGACAGGGTGTTCCTGAAGTCTTCGAATGACATTACCCAAAAGCTTTTTGAAGTTCTCCAATATGTCTTGCGAAGCTGGTTGTTCGAGCAGATCAGAGGAAAAGGATTGGAAAGATGGTTCCACAATATTAGTTATGACCTGCAATCATGAGAAAGCTTGAATCATATTCTTTCTATTCACCAGTAAATGAACATTGCTCTATCAATTCACCATATAAAATATATCATGCATATGATGATTATATCAAAACTAGAATTACCCAGGAGTCTGAAGCAGGTGGCATTCCATGATCGACTGTCAACTGTTGGAGAGCAGTAGTCAAACACTTTCTCAAGGAGGCATGGGCTGATTCCGTCCCTGAGAACATCGAAATTGCCTCTGTTTCGAACATAGGGCTCTCAACAAACTCCTTTAGATCTTCGCCATCGATCCTGAGGATAACTATGGGGTCCCTGTTAAGCCCAGCTGCCATGCCCAAAAGAATGTCTGAGAGTACCTCCTTGAACTCAGATTTGCTTACTTCTTCTTGCTTACCATGAGTGAACTCACTCAAGACCTTCATATAATGACAACAAATCAATCAAAGATAAATCCACAAAAGTTAAATATATGTTTGAAAAATGTTATAGACCAAATGGAGGAGAGCCTAGAAACCTGTTCATCGCTCATTCTTCAATCAAGCAATTGTGTCTTTATATCAGTTAATTCACCTTTTATCTTTAAACAAGAGAAAATTATGGTAACCCTCATAATTCAAACATAGAGACTATCATTTTTACAACTAAAAATGGCGTTAGTGTATTGTGCTATACACATCACTCTCCCAGTTTTTTACATCATCAAGATGCCATCTAAACAGACTCCCAAGTTTTTCTCCTCAAGAAATTCCCTGAGCAGTTCATAAGTAGTGTGCTAATGACTTCGGCTGTCATTCTAGTGTATTATAATAAACCATTACATACTAGAAAGAAAAATGTTGTGCATGAGTCTCCTTCTCACTAAAGTTGCAAAAGAACAACCTTTGTGGCATCATTGCTAACCTTTAATTACAAAACACTGCATACCAACACAAAATAAATATACAAGAAAGAAATGCTACATTTTACTACAAGGTTTAGTTAAAATAACTGCTCTGATCACATAGAAAAATGATATTAAATGATTTTTTAGTACTCAAAATTCATCTTTGAAGCCAATAAAGGAATCACTTTTGATGCTTTAGAATATGTAAGAATTGCTGCTATTGTAGGTTATATTGCTTCTTCCGATGATCATGATATACGTATGTCAAGCCTAATCCTAGTAGGAGTAGGAGACTTCAGCATGATCTTCCTTTATAGGGACACAAAACTGCATCTTAGGTATAATCCTATTTTAAGAGGCAATTTTAGAATGTCTCTCTCTAAAGTTCAACTCATGATCTAATTAGTGCCAAAAAAACACTCCCGAACGCAATCTAAAAAGCTTAAGCTCATTAAGTTGCCTGCCAAAACCAAAGTAAGCCATCTGAGACTACTCTTAGTCTTATCTCAGTCTTTTACTTATCAACCAAAGAAATTCATAATCTGGCTTACTTTGCAGCTAAACTTGTCAGCCTCAAACAATATTACTGAATAGAAAGTTTCTATAACCAGTCTCAAGCTCAATCACTCTACTGAAATCCATGACAGTATGAAGCAAAGCATGACATCATTACCAAGTTGACTGTGCATCCTATGGAGCTGTTGAATCTTTCTGCCACTCTGGTGCTCCATGTTCTGCCCTCACTCCATTTCCACATTCCATGGTCAGTAATGCATGGTTAAAATTCTACCAAGGAGATCAATGTTATACTGCACAGTCTGATAGGTTAACCTTGCAACCCAATCTGCCAACTCGGCCTCATCTTCTTCCCCAATACACTAACTGGGGGAGTGATGAGGAAAAGAACAGGAAAAGAGGAACCAAGTAACCTACAGAGAGAAGGGGCTGACCTCAGAGTAGATGTGGTCAGATTTGGGGGAGCTGCCCGGTGCCGGAAGCCCGATCGCGGCGCCAATATCGCTCACGGCCGGCTGGAGCTCCTTCACGGAGAGCCTGCCATCGCCGTCGACGTCCAACTCCCGGAACTTGCTCTCCACGAACCCGCTGAACGTCGCCTCGTCCTCCACCAGCTCCTTTATATCCGACCCATCCAACACTACCGCCTTCCTCGTCTCCTCCTTCCCTTTGCCTCCGCCACTCTTATTTCTCCGCCCGAACCACCTACCGCTGGCCATCCTGTTCACGTATCACCTTCCTCCCTTCGTTTTCCACCCAAAAAGGGAAATTAAAGAGCAATCTTTCCCGTGACGCTCTCGTGACCGTGCTCTTCCTTTGGCTTTATAAGGGGTTCCCGATCGCGTCCCTCTCTCACGATCCACTTGAGTCAACTCCGTGAGGGAGAGAAGTGTGTGGAGGGGATGGGGCGGAGGAAATAGCAACCGCCTATCCGCCACCCACCGGCCTTGAGTTGAGACACGTGTGGTGTCTGGCTTTTCCGTGTGTAGATTTTTCATCTACGGAAGAGAGGTGGGTGGATCGCCGCTTTCGCCACCTCCCCTGTCCTTATCTGCTGCATAAAACCTCCGATAACGTCAGAATGCTCCGCCAATTCATCCCATTGCAACGATCATCGTCATGCTTCACGGTAATCCTGTGCCTAACTTTACGTGTGAAACAGGTGAGGAAGAAGATGACGATCGTCTCTATCGCTACTCCAATTCTCCGATTGTTCGACTTCACAGAGCTTAGAGCTTTGTGTAGCACTGCGAGTCTACGACGAGCGCTGCAATCCACGTGGCGCACAGGATGAGGAAGGGACGGGACTGATGGGCCCCTGGGGATCTATGGGGGAGTTCGTGGACAGAGATGTGGGCGAGAGGAGGAGGAGATGGGGACGACACACAGACATCCTTTTGTTGTATGGTGTCGTATGCATTCATTGTTGACTCAGTCAACACTGATCCTTTTGTTGTATCAGAAATATATGGAATGCGGATAGAGGGTGTTTTGGGAAATAGTGATAATAAATATGTTGGAAATTATCATCTTTCTTTCTCCTCTCCTCCTTTAAAATTTAATCTAAAATAGTATTCTTATTCTTCACACCATCTTCATATATTCATTGTTGCTTTTAATTGATTTCAATGAACCTAAAAAATATATAATAAAAATAATAAGAGGTCAAATAATTAGATCAATATAGAAATAATAAAATATGAAATAACTATTGAAATTATTTAACAAGGAATTCTAGAAACAATTTTTTTAGGAGCATGAGGGCCATAAAAGCAAAATATGGTTGGATGCTTTTAAAAAAAAAATCAATGAGAAATGTTAAATTTATAAGAGAGTTAGAAAACATGGTAATAAAAAAATAAAGCTTTTTTGTAGA